TAGCTTTTCTGGTGAGACTAATTTATGGACGGTCTTTGAGTGACTCTAGACTGACCTTGAGAGTGACCACTAAATAACCACAACCAAGTGGGTGTTATAAACCAGTTTTTGGAATTATAATTTACAGTTGATGGTTAAGGTTAGTGATTAGGTTTCGGGTTTTCATCACGAACTGACATCAGCTGTGATGCCAAAACTATTTATCCAAATGGATAGGTGAATTTTGAGCCAAAATCTCAGACCTGTTATCTTATACGTGATTGGTTCGTCCATAAATTATAGTCTCTCCGCTCTTCCATTTAATTCAGAATACCTCTTTCAAAACAAGTTCATATTTTGGGGCTGTAAGACTGTGTCAAAACTAGCATTGATTACTCCTTTAAGGGTTGCTTGACAAATTCCATCGAGTCTTCTACTAAGCTATACGAGTCTCAAAATCTCCGTGATTAATTCATATCCTCTCCCGATACAGCTAAGCTCAGTAGCCATCGTCTTCATTTTCCCACCTCTAACCTTTAATCTCACTATCCTATATAGTCTCTTTTTTAAACTGGAAACATTTTTCGGAGTATCTAAAATGCAGAGTACGGGATAAATGTTTCTTTAAACGATCCTACTGTTGGTTTCAAGTGACAGTTCACTTCTAGATAGTACACGTGGGTGAGAGTCAAAGTTATCAAGTTTTCACTTAGTAAAATACCTATTTGATGCATTTTCCAAGTGTTCATGCAATAGCACTATTTCTAAAACAAATATATGGTTAAATATTTTTTTCATTTACTTTTCTTCAGACCATAGTGTTATAATAGTATTCAAAGGGATTTTGACGATCTGTATGTGTAAAAATCCATCCTATCAACTACCATCTTAAAGTCCCGGTAGATAACTCCATCATGAAAATCTGAGTTTATCAAAATTTGGAAAAATTGTAGCTTCATTGCTTAATTCTCCTGAGTAAAATGCAATCTCGAAGTCGTCCTCAAAGCAACCTCAAAAGTAACTGACATTTTTTTTAACAATTCAAGACTTCGGTCTAGATGACTCGCGAAATAGATTTCAAATAGAACTGGAATTTGTCCAATGTCTTGCGAATCCTAACTACCTAAATTGTATGTTTATGTTTTCTTATTATCCCTAGTTCTTGCACAGCAAGGTTGGTTTGAAAAGCCAAATTTCATAAAGTATTTGAAGTATTTACTGTATTGGAAGGACCCTGCATACTCAAGATATCTCATGTAAGTTAACTCAATTTTGACTAAAATACCATATTTCATGATTATTTGTAGTGAGAAATTAAAAATACAATCTTCCTAAACGTTGTCATGACTAAAAGTGTATCTTCATAACCTTATGCATTGGCTAAGCATTTACTTCTGTCGCCCACCTGTTGGCTCACCATTTTGCCATATATATATATATATATATATATATATATATATATATATATATATATATATATATATATATGTCAACCTTTATTCTCTAGGCGGGAACGTTTTCGAAGCTACAAGCTTGTTTCAGCATGTCATGAGTGTGACTAATGCTTGTTTGCTTTCCTATGGGCGGATCAGTGCTATGTGCAATCAGTCTGTCTACATAAACTATCATGTGATAAATTTATTGACTAGCTTAACATAAGTTGAGCTTAGCACACATAAAAACCTCGTGAGCATCTAAAAATGTACTTCAGAAAACTATCGGTTTGGTACAAATATATGTTATTGGTAAAATCCTTTTGTATTCAAGACAAGTCGCAAACCTTGAAGATGTTAAATCTAAAGGGTATTGAAAAAAAGTCAGATTTTGTGCAGGGAAACAGCTCAGTATGTTTTTGATAAACCAGTTTCTAGCAATTATGACTTACTAAAACGTCACGTAAGTGTCTCCATAAATTACTATGCGAACTGACAGTTCTATCAATCATAATTTCGGTCTAAAGTCTCACTGTGCTACTAATGAGTAGTGCAACTATAGCGTATAGTAAATAGTTTATCATTTCAGGTTTTTAACCACGTGAAATATATATTCTCCTTTCATTTTTAGTTATCCGTACTGTCTTCACCTGCTTGATCTTTTGCAACATGCGGAATTTCGCTCTGCTCTTGCACGAGGTCAAATATGCCGAATGATCGATGATCAAATTCTTCTTCACTGGCAGCACTATATGCGTAAGCGTGCAGCTCTTATAGCTAAACACGTTGAAGAAACTATACAACCCACTTAACTTCACGTCTGAGTTATGGAATGTGATAAATCGTTCATAAATTGATTTTCATTTTCAGACTTGTGTTTTTCTTTCTGAAAATGTCTTTTTGTCATCATATCAGGCGTTTGCTAAACACCGAGCTCTTTGTTTGGTCTCATTATACTTGAATTTTTTTACGAAATAAGATTTTGTTGACAAAGTAAACCACTGTTAAGTACCAAGATCATGTAAATTCATTTCAGTGCATTAGCTTTAATCGATTTCTAATATTTTATTTATTTTGCTCAACTTTTTATATTAAGTCACTCTTCTTGAAATTGAGTATATATTTGGGTATTAGCCTCCCAGATGGAACCTGCAGTTTTACTCTGAACTGATTGTTGGGATAGTTTGCGTACACCATAGGCACATTTAGTTCTGGTGTCTGTTGGAGTGCTTAATAACTGTACTGTTTACTTGTCTCAATTCCAACATAGGGCAATTATCTATGCCGAGACCTAATTGCATTTCAAACAAAAAATTGTTTTTAAATTCAGCGAATAATGGATTATAGTATACTGAAATTATGGTAATTGTTGTTAGCAGTCTAATGTATTGTTCTATTAACTCCACATATGCAAATAGATGTTTGAATACCGTCTAATCACCGCGTAAACCCTTAATCAGTGTACCCATAATTTGTTAGCATTTCCCATTATCCCTGTCCTCTACTCAACGCAATCCCATCTGACTGGTCTCAATCACTGATTGTGCCAGTTTTTAAGAAAGGACAAAAGTCCTCTTGTGACAATCACAGAGGAATCAGTTTGACTAATATAGTGTCTAAAATATTAGCCTCAATAATACTTCGACGCCTAATGAAAGCTCGTGAAGAGCAGATTAGAGAAAACCAGACTGGTTTTCGACCTGGACGTGGTTGTATAGATCAGATATTCACACTACGTCAGGTTTTAGAACTCAGACACACGTTTAGACGCCCCACAATGGTAGTATTTCTCGACCTTAAGGCGGCATTCGACTCTGTTGATCGTGAGGTTCTATGGCAGTGTTTGTCACTGAAAGGAGTACCAAAGAAGTACATTAACCTTATAAAGGCTCTCTACTCGAACACAACTGGTAGAGTGAGAGCTTATGGCGAACTGTCATCAGAATTGATTACCTCAAGTGGTGTTCGTCAGGGCTGTCCACTCTCTCCATTCTTGTTCAATTTTGTGGTCGACGTACTTTTAGAGATGACACTCTCCTCATCTAAATTTCCAGGGGTTGAACTTCTACCGGGAAGTTCACTTGTTGACTTAGAATATGCTGATGACATAGTTTTATTTGGTGAAGACGCTGATAAAATGCAGAGTCTTCTGACCACTATAAGAAACAATGCAAGCATGTTTGGCATGCGATTCTCCCCCTCGAAATGCAAAATGTTGCTTCAGGATTGGGTTGCATTAACACCCGAACTAATGATAGGGAGTGAAGTAATTGAGCGTGTCGATCGCTTCACTTATCTTGGAAGTCTCATCAGCCCTTGTGGTCTGGTGTGTGACGAAATCTCAGCACGGATACAGAAGGCTCGACTAGCTTTTAACAACTTGCGTAGGCGAGTTATCCGTCTATCAACCAAAGGACGTGTTCACTGCGCAGCAGTTCGTTCTGTCCTACTTTATGGCAGTGAAACATGGCCGGTAAGAGTAGAGGATATTCGTAGACTACTAGTATTTGATCATAGGTGTCTTCGAAGCATTGCTCGTATATCCTGGGACCATCGAGTAAGTAATGCAGTTGTTAGGAAACGGTCACTAGGTAAGGATGGCAAATCGATTGATGATGTGATGAAACTTCATCAGTTGAGATGGCTGGGACACGTGTTACGTATGCCCAACCACCGTCTGCCTCGACGTGCGACGTTCAGTGATATAGGAGTAGGTTGGAAGAAAGCTAGTGGCGGCCGGACCGAAACATGGCACAAGTCCATGAAGTCACTGACAAGTGGACTGAGTCATGTTGGTAGGTGTAGACTACCTGGTTGGGGACCGCGAGATGATAGCAACTGATGGTTAGAGACCCTGGATGAAATGGCTCAAAATCGTTTGCAATGGCGCAGGTTCATACACTCTTTGTGTTTTCCCAAATTTTGATCTCCTTATTCCTCCTTGTCTCTTTTTTCTTCTCTTCTCAAATTTATTTCACTGTATTATACTCTTTAAGTAACATCTCCAAACACTAATCTTCCCGATTACTACCTATACTCTTATTACCTCTACCACTACGGGATTTGAATCGACCACTGCATCTCTGTGCTAATGTGGTATTTGTCAACTCGAACTGATGTACGTACGTACGAAGTTCCACGTTGTTACTGACTGAGACGTTTGATTGTCTCTTATTTCTACCCTTATGAGCCTAATTATTCACTTCTAAAAAGTAGTTTTTTTTGGAAATCATAGCGTTGTACATTACGGTCAGTCTATGTCGAAGTAGGAGAAATGATAAATTGAAGCGGAACAACGATCTATTTTAGTATTAAGATATACAAGCATTATTCATGAAATCAAGAAAATGCAATTGAAAGATAGGGTGTATAATACTAGTTCTCTGTTATTAAGTATCGATATAATCATACTACAAATAGGCGCCCGGGACATTTGCTTTTAGCAAAAATAAGCTATCCTTTATGTTGATCAATGAGGAGAAGATAGACTACATTTTTGCTAATGAATCTAACAGTACTCTATCAGCTATAACCACGATTATCTGATTGTTTAACTCATTCAAGAAAAAAGCTTTATAAGAATAAGTAGTTGGATATCAATACTGACCGTTAATTATTATTTGAAACATTTCACAAAAATACGCACGGTTGTATTTGTATTTTCACTAAGTAAGATGTCAATTTGCAAGTAATCTGCCATATTTTAGCTCAAGAATGCATGAATCCTGAATAAAGTCTTCGTTACTATCAATCTTTTTACTGTCTATAATCATAAGTTGTGACCAACTGTCACTTTCTGTAAGTCCCCCAATAACTGTTGTTCCACGGGTATAGTTAAATCAACTGTTGTGGCGGTTGTTTCACGATATAATGTTGTCCAATTTGCTTGGTTATTCACTACGTTAGTTGCATTCGGGGCTGAACCAATAGCACCACAACCACGTAGTCCATGTATAAATACGCTTGGTCTCGGTACTTGTGTATAACCATCCTTTTTGGTTGCTGTACTAGTTTCTCTGAAATTTGAAAAGAATTGAAGACTGACTACATTTCAAAATGAATAGATTAGTTCCTCATCTTTTTTATAGAAGGGTATGGACCTAGTTAACGTCATTATGGCGTTACGACAAAACTTTTAGCAAACTTAGCTTTTACCTATGTGCAAATCGTTTCTTTGAAACATGCACTAGTAAACAGTCTAAGTTGTCTATAGCTTTGGTTTATGTAACTCATCTAAAATATCTTAACCTAGTTACATTAGATTAGAATAGTGAACTTTCGGTAGAACGTAACGGATAGAATTTATGGCTGTTTCAGTAAAAAATACTTTTAGTAATATTTCGCTACGTACATACAATTTCAAGACACCAAGATTTTCCAAGAAAAAAATAGTCTTACATGCTAAACCTAAGTGTACGAAGTGTGTTCTCAACGTATGTTACCCTAGAACTCATTCTTACGACTTTACCATCCGAAGTTCGTGAAGATTGAGCAACTGGATGTTCTGTCTTACTAATATTGGAAAAGTTAGAGATACTGTGCTTTAATCAAAGTAACACGACGTAATATAGCACCTCACTTACACTAAAGTCTGTTAACGTTTAATCTTGTCAATCCCTTCAGTTAACTTATTTAAAAGACAGTGTCGTTCGAACAGTAACCAGTTGTCTATATCTTTGTAATATTATTATCATGTCCATATGAACATATATATATATATATATATATATATATATATATATATATATATATATATATATATATATATATATATATATATATATTACTACCTTACGCCTGTTACTCCCGATGGAGCATAGGCCGCCGATCATCATTCTCCAACCCACTCTGTCCTGAGCCTCCTTTTCTAATTCCATCCAATTCTTGTTCATCTTTTTCATGTCTATTTCTCGGCGTAATGTGTTCTTTGGTCTTCCTCTTTTCCTTGGGCCTTGAGGATTCCATGTGAGGGCTTGTCTTGTGACGCAGTTGGGTGCTTTCCTCAATGTGTGTCCTGTCCACTTCCAGCGCTTCTTCCTGATTTCTTCCTCCGCTGGGATCTGGTTTGTTCTCTCCCACAGTACGTTGTTGCTAATAGTGTCTGGCCAACGGATCTGAAGTATTTTGCGTAGACAACTGTTAATAAACACCTGTATCTTCTGGATGATGGCTTTCGTAGTTCTCCAGGTTTCCGCCTCATACAGTAGAACTGTCTTGACATTTGTATTGAAAATCCTGCTCTTGGTGTTGGTTGACAGTTGCTTTGAGTTTCAGACGTTCCTCAGTTGTAAATATGCTGCTCTTGCTTTACCGATCCGCGCCTTCACATCTGCATCAGATCCACCATGTTCATCAATGATACTGCCCAGATATGTAAAGGTTTTTACATCTTCCAAATCTTCTCTGTCAATTGTGATTGGATCGGTGCATGCTGTGTTGTATCAGAGAACCGTGCTCTTCCCTTTGTGTATATTGAGACCTATTGCTGCTGAGGCTGCTGCTACACTGTTCGTCTTCTCCTGCATTTGTTGTTGCGTTTGGGATAGAAGGGCCAGATCATCTGCGAAGTCCAGATCGTCCAACTGCATCCTAGATGTCGATTGTATCCCGTGCTTCCCTTCAGATGTTGACGTCTTCATGATCCAGTCGATCACCAGGAGAAAGAGAAAGGGTGAGAGTAAGAAACCTTGCTTAACACCGGTCTTCACTTCGAACGACTTTGTCAACTGTCCTCCATGCACGATTTTGCAGTTTAATCCATCATAGGAATTCCGTATGATATTGACTATCTTCTGAGGCACGCCGTAGTGTCGAAGAAGCTTCCATAGTGTTGTCCTGTCCACGCTGTCAAATGCTTTTTCGTAGTCAATGAAGTTGATGTAGAGTGATGAATTCCATTCAATTGATTGTTCCACAATGATCCGTAGAGTTGCGATTTGGTCTGTACACGATCTATCCTTACGGAATCCTGCCTGTTGTTCACGAAGTTGGGCGTCTACGCAGTCCTTCATCCTGTTTAACAATACTCTGTTGAAGACTTTTCCCGGTATTGAGAGAAGAGTGATGCCCCTGTAGTTATCACACTTGCTGAGATCGCCTTTCTTCGGTATTTTGATCAGAAGTCCTTCTTTCCAGTCTTTTGGTACTTGTTCCTCATCCCAAATCTTATTGAAGAGAATGTGGAGTATCCTTGCAGTTGCCGCTACGTCTGCTTTTAGTGCCACTGCTGGAATGTTGTCCGGTCCTGCTGCTTTGCCACTCTTGATTTGTCTGATGGCCATGCTGATTTCTTCAATTGTTGGTGAGCCAACGTTGATTGGGAGGTCCGTGGGTGCTGCTTCAATGTTGGATAGGTTCAGTGGAGCTGGTCGATTCAAGAGTTCTTTGAAGTGTTCTACCCACCTGTTTTGTTGCTCTTCAATGTTGGTGATTACCTCGCCTTCCTTACTTTTCACTGGTCGTTCTGGTTTGCGGCGATTTCCAGAGAGTTTCTTTGTTATGTCATACAGTTGTCTCATGTTCCCTTCTCTTGCAGCCTTTTCCACCGTCTTTGCTAGATCTTCCACATATTTACGTTTGTCGGTTCTGATGCTCTTCTTCACTTGTTTGTTTACTACTGTGTATTCAGCTTGTGCCTTGGCTTTTTCTGCTCTTGTTTGACTGGTATTGATTGCTGCCTTCTTGTTCCTTCTTTCTTGAATCTTATCCAGTGTATCAACAGTGATCCATTCCTTGTGATGGTGCTTCTTGTGACCCAGGACCTCATAACATGTTGAAGTGATTGCCTCTTTGATCCCCTTCCAGTTGCTCTCCACAGTAGTTCCTTCTCCACTGAGTAGATCATGAAAGGCCTGGAACTTATTGCTGAGGACTATCTTGAATTTATTGAGTTTGTTAGTATCCTGAAGGAAGGCCGTATTGAACTTTTGTGATATTGTCCGCCCCATTGTCCAGTGCTTCTTGAGTTTCAATTTCATCTTGGTGACCAGCAAGTGATGATCTGATGATATATCAGCTCCTCTCTTGGTTCTCACGTCCTCTATAGTCCTCCTGAACGTTTTGTTGATGCAAATATGGTCGATTTGGTTTTGCGTGGTGTGATCCGGTGAAGTCCATGTGGTTTTGTGAATGCGTTTATGTGGGAAGATGGTGCCGCCTATGACCAGTTTATTGAAGGCACATAGGTTTGCAAATATCTCACCATTATCGTTTCTTTTTCCAAGTTCATGTCGTCCCATGATGTCTTCATATCCAGTGTTGTCCGTTCCAACCTTGGCGTTGAAATCTCCCATCAGAATGGTCAGGTCCTTTGTTTGGCACTTCTCGACGATTGACTGTAGCCTATTGTAGAATTGATCTTTAGAGTCTTCATTGTAGTCGTTGGTAGGCGCATAGCATTGGATGATATTCATTGTAATGCCCTCCTTTTTTGTTTTGAAGGAGGCTTTGATGATCCTTGGTCCATGAGATTCCCATCCTATAAGCGCATTTTGCGCTTGTTTGGACAGCATCAATGCAACTCCTTGTGTACGTGGGGCATTTTCTTCTTCATGGCCGGAGTATAACAGAAGCTCTCCTGAAGTTAGTCGTTGTTGTCCAATGTGTTTCACTGATCCCAAGTACCTCTAGGTTGTATCTTCTCATTTCTGCAGCAATTTGGAAGGCTCTCCCGGTGTCCCACATTGTACGAACATTCCATGTACCTAAATAAATGGTCGCTCTGGTTGTCAGAAGGGGCATCGGCCTCGTAACTTCCGAAGGAATTCGGCTTTCATCATGAGGCGTCATAGTTCTTCTAAATGAAGACCTTCTGACTTCCAGGGCAGAGGTTAAAAGGTTTGAATCATTCTTTCTGGTTAGCGTTTTTTTAGCTAGTTAGTTTTCTACGGGATGGGGACGCTAACCCCATGCCCAACCCTCCTCCTTTATCCGGGCTTGGGGCCGGCAGTAGCCCCCGGAGGGGCTCCAGGCGGAGTTATATATATATATATATATATATATATATATATATATATATATATATATATATGAATCTTATCAATTCATTCGCTTCCGTATTTGCTAGTTCGTATTTTTATTTCTACTCGGACGCGCTTTGTGTGCTTGTGGCTTAGTGATTTGCGATGTACAAATTGCAGTCAACGATTCGTATCGTCTCCAGGAATTTATAAATCGTTGGGAGCTATCTAGTAACGATTATCAGGATGTGTGATATACGAAGCCTTAGGAATTATCTCTAAGATAATCCACTACGGCAGTTTTTACCTGCTACTTATGGTTTTTAATTCGAAAATTACTGAAATAATTCTGAAATAATTGATATTTATAGAAAGAATAGTCCTCGCGTAATGTAAAAACAAGTTATTTTTTGACAAATTGAAACTGAAAAATCACAAAACCAGTCAAAATTCGGTGTTATACACTATTTTAAATTGACCTGATAGTGAGAAACTTTATTTCTGTCAGTTAATTCTGAAAAATACCATGTCCACTATAAGACCTAAACATTCTGAATATGGTCTTTTATTTGATCCTGGTTGTTCACTAATGAACGAACGTTGAGGTAAGTTGGTCCAACTATTCATTGCTAGCTGTGTATCAACAGTTCTCTAGTTGATACGACCAGTGCTATATGAAAATGAACGTTGAATTTTAATGACTTTTACAGCCCTCTTTAATCTTAATAAGTTAAACTTCAGTCAGCCAAAATAAAGAAATGTTCTCTTTGTATTAAGTCTTACTTCATCGGATAAACTTGAGTTGCATTGTCTCTTCTCCAATTGCTTAAAATTGTTTGAACAGAAGCTGTGGCCTTTTTTCTTAAATTTACCTACTTGTTATAAAGAAAAAATAAACTGAAAGGTAATTCTAAACTAAGCATAGAGCATAACATTACTAGAACCAATTAGTCACATAAAACTCGGGTTTATATGTTAACTAACAATTTCCCTTCATAACATCGATGATCTTTTAATAACACATTTTCTGGAAAAGGTAAACGAATTAAAAAGCAGCTGGTTAAGACTTTGAATCTTGAGTTTACTTCGATGAGTAAGCATTCTATATTTACATTTGCAATTCTTATGAATGTATATATTCATATAGCAACAATTAAAAAGATAAAATGAAAGTTATATAGGCCCGAAATTTTTAAAATAATAAATCCCAAGTAAGTTTCTTCTTAAAATGCTTTCAAGATAATCAGACCCGTAGTTTTTAGTATTTATCAATAACTTCACCGACTATTCCTGGGAACTACAGATATTGAATGCTATGATTTTTTAGAAGATGTAGGGTGTGTAGTATGAATTCCGAAACTAAATAAAACGAATCTAACATGCTTGCTTACGAACCAACTATTTCTATAAATATATGCGGAGAACTATTAAGTTGAAAGAAAAACTACGACTTCGAAAATTTCGAACGTGTTTTACTTAAGGTCAGTGGTAGTTAAATCAATTACAAAAGTATGTTAGAGTGATTGTCTAACGATGGAAAAATGATGAAGAGTAGTAGTGATTTACTTATCGTGCGAAGGAAATTCAAATACAACCTTACTGGTAAAAGTATATTACACGGACGACCTTGAGCGACTTAGCCAATCAGGAGGCAGTGTTTAGTTATAGAACGATTAACACTGGGATAAATAGTTTGGTACGAATAATTAACTCATATGTCGAATTATTGTTTATAATGGCAGAAGTGCTTAAGTTTACATAGTATACGTCAGACTAGTGTTATGGGGTCGGGTATCGATCCCTTCGTGTTTTCGTCACCAACTGACATCAGCTTTACTGCAAAAAGGTTAGGTATTATGAGTTTAGTTACGGTTATAAGTTAGAGTTAGGGTTTTCTTCACGAACTGACATCACCTATAATGCAATGCCCTGTCACTCTTCTCTTAACAAACCTAGGAAATTATGGGTTGATATTTAGAGTAAGATTTAGGGAGGGAAAATATTCATTAGCTTCACGAAAAACTTCTGACTATGTATTGGGTCACATAAAGTAATTTAACGTTTAACATGCCTTAGAGGCAGATGTGCTTCGTAATTTAACATAAGTGTCATCTAAGATTCACTTTTCGGTTGAGCAATAGATTTTTTATTGATTCCAAGCATATTAAGAAACAATTATTGCCGGTTTTCACCTAATTGATGACGTAATTTAAGGCAGGTAGAACTATATGAGCACAAATGGACGTATCGCGTTTGGGATTCGTAATCAGCGGGCGATGGAGTACAAAGAAATCATTATTTCGTACAAATATCACAATTTTCATAAGGCATTATGCTAAATCCTTCGATGAAATAATTAAATTCACGGTTCCTTACCAACTTTAAAGCATTTTTCCTCAGGTCCCACTCATTCCAATAATAGTTTTTATCAATATACGTTTCTATTGGGTGCAGTACTGTTTGGACACCACAGTCGACCTTAGGACTTGTATTTTCATGAAATTGACCATTCTGAAATAAAAATGGTAATGGATTCTTTTTAATATCATAAATCATTTTGATGAGTTTTAAATTACGAAACCATACAGTAACTTCCAATTTATCTGATATATATTCATTATTGCTTTTGGTCAGTAAGTTCCTATATGGATAAATTAAGTTCAAGCATTGGAACACAATAGCAGTGGTGTTCTAAAGTTCATCAGGATCTTGAAGTATTAATTAAGAATTAGGCTCTGATTCATGTTAGAGATTCTGTGGAAAATGCTACTCATTGTTTGACGAACATTCACTTAATTAGGTGGTAGGAACTAAAATGTTAAGGATTCATGCATAAACTACCTCAGAAATCTAGTAACCACATATTTTTTCCAAAAACAAGTATCAATATGTTGTAGTCTTCTATATTTGTAATACATCTTGGCGGCCACTATATCACCACTGTGAATAAGCCACTCAGTGTTGGTTAAAGATTTTACCTGTCTTTGTCTGCTTAGAATTGGTTGAAAAAACTGTCGGCCTTCATCTACTGAGGTAGTAAAGGCATGAGTTATGAAGTCCAATCTACCTGGATATGCAATCAAGGGTTTTATATGAGTAAACTTTAGAAATTCTAGAAGCGATCAGATCAAGATAGGACAAAGTTCTATGAAGACACTAACTGTTCCGGGGCGTATCACGAGGTATAGAATTATTGTTTGGGACTTGGAATGTTTTAGGATATTAGGTGATATGTCTCTTAATGGTTTTGTGTTTCTTCCAGGAATATATGACAAACACTACCTCTGTTAAAGTTCCAAGTTGCGCATAGTATATGACTCATTCGTAATAATTAAGGTCAAGTTGTAGATGCAAACAAAAATTATTGACTTCGACTTATAAAATCGTCTAGAACTCTATGGAATTTGGTCTAAAGTACTCCTACTAGTTAACAAGACAATTGTCAGAAGGAATGCGTAGCTACTGTGAGAAGTTACAAACTATTTACACATACATACATAGCCTTCAATCGTTCATGTTCACCTTTCGGTGTTTTGCCGACGCCGCACTTTTGGTGCACTGGAACTTTTCACTCCACCCGATAACTATAGCAACTTCGGCTTCACATTCCGATACACACTACTTACAAACAATCTTATGCGCAGCGTCCACTACACTACATTAAACAAAGCAATTACATAAGTACGATTTCCACAGCAACTGTATTAAAAATGTTATTCGTTGTAAGATATTATTCTAAAGTTTGTGTAACAAATATAACAAAACATACTGTATAAGAAATTCCTTTGGAGAAAAGGTAATTGAGCTTTAAAATTGGGATTAGTTCAGGTAAACTTCGTATAACTTCTGGTATAGCCCTCAAAAATCTAAGAAGATGAATTTCAGGAAAATGAAAAATACTTAAAATTAACCGCTCAATATTATTTGCCTGAATATTTTATTATAAAAGTTATACATTATAAGATATGACTTACAATCTGTATAGAAAGAACTATCCATCTACTACAAGGCAACATTATGTGGAATTGTCTTATTGGCTGTCGGAGTATTGTAATCCACTTGGATTAACTTTAGAACTGATTTGATAATGTGTTATTTTAAGGTTGTCATTTCTTTCCTTTTCAATGTCCACTTAGTAAAATCTTCATTTTTTATAATCAATATTAACAATTTTACTATGAATTATCATTTGCACATAAATGCTGTCTAATAGGCTTTTTGTCCATTTCACAATGAGACATCCGATGAAGAATAACTATTTTTAACATAATTTAGTGAACATTAAAAATTCCCGTGGAACATTCAAAAAACGAAGGATATATAAGAGGACAATAGTTTACAGTAACTAACGGTATATTAGGCCATTAATTGGGTGCATTAGATTTCAAATGATGGAATTCGTGTTAACCTTATCTGACTCCAGTAAAGTTGATAAAAATAAAATGTATATTCTCACTGATTTTGTTTATATCCTCTGTTTTTCTTGTTAATAACAATCGGAAATCAAAATTCAAATACGAGTAATGTCGTGGATGTGTATATATTGTGCATACGGTTTGTCAGAAAGACGGTACAAATGAGTAGTCATAACCTCGAGGTTTATCGTTAAAGATAAAGAGGAAAAACCATCATCATTTAAATGTCAACTGTCAATTATGATATCTTGAATAACAGTATAGTGTATACATATGTAATATATACTCTCATTTAACACTCACTTATCAGTTTCCATCACAAATTCTTTTGCTGCTTCAGGTGTGCTAAATGCATACATTTTATTATCTGGAGGTAAGAGCAAAACTCCCATATGAATATCAGCTGGTACTAGTAGACCTTGATAATGTACTAATGACCAGATGCAAAACCCCTGTAAATATTTATTAATTAAAATAAAATATTTATAAATGATGGCACTTAATTAATATTTAATTATAAAAGCAAATAAAGATTAAACAAGACTAAATTCTACTAACAGTTATTCGTCTAATATTACAAATTGTACAAGAAGCTCTCTTAATGGTCATGATCTGCTTTCAAGCATTTACTGTTGTGATATAGACAAATTTTGATACGTTATCAGCTGGAAAGTCGTTAGTAAATAAGAATTATCGATATTCTAGGTGTTAGGAAATTGTTAAAAGGTTCGCATTAAGAGTAATCTATGATTAACTAATACATTTTTTATGTGTGAAAATTATATTTGAAATAATCTCAGCGATTGAAATTTTAATAACTCCAACGTTTCTTCCAGCTAACTTGTCTGAACTTCTTAAGGGTAACTTCAATCGCTGAGATTCTTTCGAATATAATTTTCACATATAATGACTTATCTTTACTCGGCGCCCGATTTCTGTTAAACTATTTGTTCTAATCTTGACGAATATTCGTATATAATACATTTTTATTTTATGGTGTAGTATTCATGTTTGGTAAAACATGTATTCTGTGATCTGCTGCATATATGAAAATATTTTGAAGTTGTTTAAGAATTTGTGTTCATAATGATCTATCACGGAATTTTATTTAGGCAGGTGTCATGTAAACATTTCAGTGTAAGAATTCTAGAGTTCGAACTGAGTGTTGAAATCAGTCTATGAAGTTTGAACGTCTCATAAAATATAATTTAATTCAATTTCTACTTTTACATGAATGTGTTGTATCTGTAACCTAACAGGCATCTGAGTTACATCGAACTGATCAAAGAATAGTCACGAAGTTATCTTTACAGTAAACAATACATTTAATTGGTGTTATAAGCATATCAACTGACTTAATTTCTATATTTCATGCTGATATTTTCTAAGTTCCTTGCTTTTAAATACTCATGCAACTCGATGATGATCAGCTTAAATTATCGCCCGTTGAATACCTATGGAAATTTAGGTCTATACATACAGTATTATTTCGTCAATAGGAACACAAAAATCACTTTCTTACCAGATATACAGTGAGTATAAAAAAGTGTCCTAACGTACCTCTGCTTAGTATTAAAGTCTATCAGAGAGTGATAATACGTAAAAACTAAGTTATGTAGGCCGAAAACAACCACCTCTGAATTAACTACTTTTATGAATCCGGTGTCCATTTGGTTGTGCTAATGAGCTATGGCAACTTGGGTCGATGCATATATGTGCCTGGTCCTACGTTGTAGCTGACTTTAATTGAAATATACCTGAAATTTCTCTAAAAGGCAGTACTAATGTTAATTAGTCAGATTATTAAGGATTTCTTTGAGAAATTTACTTCATCAGTGCTAAAGCTTAATATGAATATAGGAAAAATTATTTATTTACTGTTAACTTATTAAATTAGCATATACTTATGTAATAAACAAGCAAAAACTCTCAAGACCACTTACTTCGCACTCAATATTAAGATTAATCTCGTCTGAAGAAGAATGTGGGAATACACACTGATGTCCACCACAGTATTCTTCACTTAATGGGTCATGATGCTAAAATAAAATTGTATAAAATACTGTAGAAGTTGTAAATCAAGTACATTAAAATTTCACTTAGGTATACTGAAAAAAGAACAATTAAGTAATTATGTATTTTGACTATATTTTTAGTAATAATCAGTAGTTTTATTACCAACGAGCATTTTATATAATGTATGTAAATTCAGCCATGTTTTATCTGTATTTAATCTAGTATATGAAATTCACAACTTCTACTGATAGATCGCTAATCCCTAAGTCATTCACTCACCGGGGCTACCCTCCCCTATTTGAAGGAAAAAAGTTCTAATTGAAGTGTTTCTGTTCCTGAATGAAATGAGAGTAAAAAATAGTCAGCTAGAATTTTTGTCGTAACTTTAAAGGATTACTAGAATGAAAATATTCAACGACTAAAGCCTTTTATTTATTATCAACATTCATTTTTCTTTATCCTTAGTGATTTACTATGTGAATATTTCATATTGCAGTGATTTTATAAACGACTATAATGAATGAATTTTCATAAAACTGCAGTAAGAGCTATTCATACATAATAATGCTTGATAAATAAAAATTTATGATTATAACTGTCAACAAATCAATTAGAAACAGTGGGTTTCAGTACCACAATTGTGCAACCAAGATGCTTTCTAACGAAGTGAGTAATAATTTCAAAAGCGTTCATTTTTACAAGGACATAATGACTATTCGCTTTTGAGTGATAAAACGTTTGAAATTTAATTCTAAAGTGTTTATTTAGTACTTAAAAATATTTCGTCATATTGGGGAAACCTTTTACAACTCATAAGATCCTAAATGTGTTCTTTTATATCACTTCAAATTACATTGCCTAGAATTGTTTTAGGCTAAATGCCAAAATTTAAGCTGTCATAATAACATAATTGATACAAGAGTAGTTCATGTTTCATTATGCTTCTTAAACTTAACCGGAGAATGTTACAATCTAGAATAATCAAAGTAACCAAACATAATCATACTAACAAGAATGCTTTCAGTACATGTTGCCTTGTGTTTCATCAATCGCTGATCGATTAAAAACAAATCATAATTTCTTATATGTTTTCAAAATAGAATCATATAAGTTAGAGTTACTGTATAATAAATTAAGCTAGAAGTGATAGTATACTGTTTTGTAAAACAATTATTAGTGCTTAGATTTCGGGAGCCTTATGATTCATTAGATTGTCTTCTGATTCACATTAACTGATTTTTTTAATAAGTCAATCTGAAAACATTGCGTATATGATAAAGAAACCGATGATGAGTTGATTCTGAAATAAACAATTAACAGAATGATAAACAGTCTCACTTAATAAGGTTATAAAATATTATTTTCAACATACCTTACGATCTTCGTCGAATATAACTTCCTTATCCGAGATAAAATTATACATTTTTTCTTTGGTCCATTTCAACTGACGTCCGACAAAATATGTTTGTAAGGTGTTTAAAGTACTGGTTAATACTGATAAGAAAACCATTTCATCTTGAAAACTTGTCCAATAATTAGCAAGCTGTAGGAATCCAGGCTAATGTTTAGGAACGTATAAATTCATTCATTACAAAGCTATATATATATATATATATATATATATATATCAGTTTAGATATTAACTTTATACATATATTAAAACAATGATGAGCATATAGGTAAATGATAATGAGATAAAAGTAATTCAATGAATATCTTACATAAACTTCGTTACTTGGAACGGCTGGCCGATCACTTATTAGAATATGCAATTTTTTCATACAACTTTTAAAATTATCAATTGTTTTCTCTATGTCTTTCAACATTTGATTAAGCTCGCATTCAATAATTCTTAGAAATTTTCCATACTGTCTAGCATTGACTACAGAAGCTCGCAAGTGTTCCGGTGTAATATCCATCTCCTTAGCAGATTTTATTAAAGCTTTAACGTCAGTAGTTGGGTCAATAGTAGATAATTTCAAGAAAAGACCTTTGAAAGGAAAGAAAGAAATATACACCGACATAAACTGATAGATTGAAATATCTGAATAATAAAGCGTTGTATAGGTTTTTGCATAAAATCTTAGATTATCCTTATACACAAATGATCATATTGTTATTTAGCAACCAAGTTGATAATTCACCAGTATTTCAGTTTGTATTTAAATAAATTTAGATTTACTAGATAAACTTTTAAAATCAATACACTTCAACTCAATAATTTATGACCATTTATAAATAAAATTATACTATAGCTGTTATATCCGAGCGAAGATTAAATCACGGGTAACGTCTGAGACATATCAACTGACTTATATTATCTGTACATTCTTATGGTATAACTTCAATAATTAGATTATGCATATTTATATTATTATTATTATAAGCTTCATTTTGACCTATGATTTATTATTGTACGATTTACGGTTCTTAAGCTATGTTCAGTTTATTGACTACTGCCTCTCACGTTCACAGACACATTTTGGCTTTATTGTGTACAAATGTTATTTCCTATTTTATGGTGCGTTGCAGTCTGTTTGATTGATATATAAACCCAGTATGTCTGGAATAAATTATTCGATTCGCATATTGGAAGCTGGTATTTGGTGTTCTGGACTCAAGTGGACGGGCTAGGCGGGCATAGGATCAATAAAGACGCTGGGCTGCTCATACCGGTCGAACGTCATTGATTTTGCACAGTGCTAAGATTGTATAAGTCGTATTTTGATTGGTGGATAAATCACGTGATAAAAAGCCAGACATAAAGACATAACAATAGCTATTTATTTAATCAAAAGCTAAATTGATAGATTTTGACGATCTGTTTCAGAAAGCATAATTTTTCAAACTGGATATTTGATAAATGGATACCGTTTGAAGTCATTATTCAGTATTGTAAACACAATAATCAAATATTATTATTTAGTTAGCAAAGTTATTTTAGACTGGCACTCTGAAGTCATTTCAATTATGCCAACATATTTATTTCTGTTGCTAAATAGTGTACGTAGGTTGTTTTACACTGATAAGGCACAATGAAACTTATAAAACCTGTACAAAATAACCATATACTGATACTTTATAGTTTTTTAATTCAATGTTTAACCTAAATATACTACTCAGTCAGAACTACTAGTATATTTCTCTTTGAACACGATTTATGATATACCTACGAAATATTGAATTACAACGGATGAAGAACTTGATATAATTTATGGTGTAACTTGTCACAGTGAACCTTCTAAATTGATAAACCAATATGAAAAGCCAGGCGGAATAGTTTCAAAAAAACTTATTTATAAATACATTTTATTACTATTATTTCCCTATGTACTTTGTCGTATTCACTTATATGGCTATCATATTTTATCAATGTATAGATAGCATCTTGTGTGCTTTTGCCAACTTACGTCACCTATGGCGAAGGCGAGGTATCCGTCTATCAATAAAAGGACGAGTATACTGCGCGGCAATTTGTTCTGTTCTACTTGAAGGCTGCGAATCATGGCCATTAAAAGTAGAAGGTACTCGTAAGCTACTAGTATTTGACCACAGATGCCTTAGAAATATTGCTGGCGTCTGCTGGGATCACCGGGTAAGTAATAGTGAGGTTAGACTCAGGGTATTAGGGAATGATCGTAAATCAGTTGATGAGGTTGTGAAACTTCATCGACTGAGATGGTTGGGCCACGTGTTACGTATGCCTGAACACCGATCACCACGACGTGCAATTCTAACCGGTGTTGGAGATGGTTGGAAGAAAGTGAGGGGCGGCCAAATCAAAAACGTGGCATCAGTGCTTGAAGTCACTAACTTCTAGTCTGAGCCATGTTGGTAGATGCAGACTACTTGGTTGGTGTCCGCGTGACTATCGTAACCAATGGTTGGAGACTTGGTGACATGGCTCAGAATCGATCAAAATGGCATCTGTGTATACACTCCCTGTCTTCCCTTAAACTAAGAGATTAAAATCGCTCCATATCTTTCTTTCTACGAACTAATTCTTTCTTCCTGTACTATATCCTTATATGCAATCTTTCTTTTATATATTACCACCACTGAATTAACTACTTTTATGAATCCGATGTTCTTCTTGTTGTGTTAATGAGGTATGGCAACTTGGACCGATGCATATATGTGCCTGGTCCTACGTTGTAGCTGAATGACTGACTGATAGATAGCATCAATAAATGGGATCAATGGACCTACTTTATTTTTTAAACCAGTTCAAATAGATAAATTTAAAATCCTGTGATTTTATTCTTCAGTATAAAAGTATGTAAAAACTAATTAATTCTAGTGGATTGCCACCTAAATGCATCTAATTAAAATTTAGCTTACAGTGAATATAAGAATATGATACAAAGGTTAAGAGTGGGAATTGAAAGCGATATTTTAACTGTATTGCCTTCCTGATGACCTATGAAACTCTTATTTTACAATTGTCTATATTTTAAATAGATTCGATAATCATAATTTCTCTCCTTGCTCTTTTTATGTAAACATGTCAATTTATTAGGCTTTACACTGTCTCTCGATAACACTTAACTTGTAGACTCAGATCATTAATTCGATCCTGTGAAAAATTGTCAACCAGATATATCGTACAATTGAGCATCATTTATCAACCATCATTATATTCATTATTATCAAAATTCCGGATATACAACAAGCCATCTATTAAATACTATCAAAAACGAAATCCTATATACCAAAAAGTACGTTAGTTTATTCAATAACAAATAATTGTTCTAAAATCATTTATAAATGACACATACTTGTGTAAATAGCAGCAAGTTCATCTGACTTTTTAATTTCTTCATTAATTGTTTCTAGTGTTATGGGTACTCCTTCACTCAATAAATGCGGAACTGAATAAAATATGTGTAAATGAAGAATATATTTGCCAATCGTTTTGTAAAATATTGATTATTAAACATTAAATGATCATTAAACAATTTAGTTTTAGATATTTTAAATAATTAAACTGAAATATTACTTTTCAATGGTTGAGATCATGAATCAATTGAAGTTAGACCATCACGGAAAACCTGGAAACATTGGACAACCGTTTCGTCTTATTGTGGGACTCCCCAGTAGTGCGCATCCAAGATCCCGCCTCTCGAGATTCGGACCCAAGACCTATCGGTCTCGCGCGTGAACCGTTTACCTACAAACCACTGAGCCGGCCGGCATTCACCGGTGTTAATGTCTAACTTCAACCAATCCACAAAATTGAGCGACACATCCACTATTGTCATTAGTAAGTTACTAACTCACAAGAGACTCGGTTGAACTCCACTGGTCGCTATTTCTCACTAGAACTGCAGGAAATACCTCTTGAAGCCAGCCAATAGTGAGCATATATCGATTAATATCAGGAGGGGGGTTTTGGATATTTTGGTAATTTTAGTAGTTGAGATCATGAGTCATTTGAAGCTAGACCACCATGGAAAACCTGTAAGTACTCTCAATGTATTTTGTGATGTTAGCTTTTGATATGAATTATCTTCAAATTGAATAGATCTCTAGAAATCTTAAAAATAAATAATAATTACATGTTTATAGCATTTTGTATTTTGATGATTTTCTTTACCATGATGGAATGTGATAACTCAGACTTCTTACAAACATTTTAAAGTTTTTTTTGGTTCTAAAAAGTCATTAATTCCATGATTTCCCATAGTTTTAATTATGCAGTTGTTGTGAACATATTAAAAATCAGGAGCTATAATGTTTTTCCCAACATTAATACCATGATTATACTGTGGTGTGTGCTACTGATATCGATAGATATAAGTAGTATGTATCATCAATCGTAAGTGAAATGCCTGGCGGCAGAAGGTTAAGAAGAATGAAGAAAAGAGAACGACAACAGAGAATCATTGGTGTCAAAATGAAGGAGCATTCAGGTTTGAGACAATTAATCGACATTTTGCAAATGAAGTATTTACTGTATGATTCTCAGATTTTGCTAAGATGTTCTGTAATTTTGTGTTCAATTGCATTTGATTATCCCTACTTGTGTTCTCGTTTACTACAATACCAATGTCATATTTTTTAGTTTTCTAAATATTATTTATTCTTACTTTATCTCCTTACTGATATAAACAATGCTTATTTCATTCTTGGAAATATATACTCGAGTGTTTGATATGTTATAATTCAAATATAATTTTCATAAAGATCTATAATGTGTAATTTGTTTATTTATATATGGCGGATATTCATAGTTTCGTAAATAAATTAAACGTATCATCTTTAAATCAGAAAAATAATGTAAAACAAACTTTTCAAAAATATAACTGAGGTCTTGATCCTGGATATAAGATTTGAGATAAAGTTTCATTTCTAGTTAGTTCAGATAAGAATCATGATATAAAGTAAGTGGTAATAGAAAATCAAGTATATTCTTCAAAATTTCTAAGTAATACACTATCCAACTAAAGTCTAACTGATAAATTAGGCAAGATCATATCAATGAGTAGTTTTCAAAGGTTTCAGTTATGCACTGATTTACATTATACAAACAGAATTAATGATTTTACGTCACATTCATATAATAGATTTAAAATTAAAATGAATATTTGTTCTTGTATTAAGACAAAAATATGCTGTAAGTTCGGCGGTCTATGCTCCATTGGGAGTAACAGGCGTAAGTATGTAATTAAGTATGATGTAAGTTGGTATTATTGTGATTTCTGAGCCGATATAATCTCTGAAAACAACATGCCAATAATATGCCATCCAAAGAAGCAACTACAAACCGAAGGTAATCTGCAAGATGAATTGCAATAACTAGAACAATGCATGTGAACAACTGTGGATATAAATTCGACTGAGTAAATGTCGAAATATTGAACAGAGGAAATACAAAGAAAGCCAGAGAATTTTCAGATACCTGAGACTAGTCAACCACCAATCAACAGACGTAGAAACTGTCTAAATTTATCGACCAGTAAGAAAAAAGGGTTAAAGTTGGAGGGATCGGAATCCAGGTCAGAAGGGAAAATAACCAAAACAAACTTAAGCAACGACCACACATATACAAATCAAAACCACTCATATTTCAGGTGACCAGGACAAACTGTCAGTCAGTGGTGGAGAGATTCCAATAACTCACTTATCTTTGAGGCAAGTGTTGATGATCTTTTTCAATAAAAGTTTCCGAACCAACTCATCCAGCTCAGAGATAACAACAAATCCAATATCCTCATCCTGAACTACAAATATAATCCATCATGTACTAAAAATACTTTAATCGCAATATTCATACTCCATTAAATCTTTAAACGTAAGTATATTAGCCGAAAAGCCATTGTTCAAGTTCATAAAAATAAATTCAGACAATAAAAAGTTATCATTGACGGTGAATTTAACTTACGATCATCAATTCCAGCTCCTCCTTTATTACAATCTTTGTTATACAGACGTATACCAGTGACCAGACCAGTAAATTCATATAGTTGTTTTCTTTTTTGACTAACATTGGCTGACAAAAAGCTTGCAATATCTGTTTGTGGAAATATACTTTGAAGTGCAGCTAATAAACGAGAGAACAGAGGCGCTTAAAATATAATATCTGAAATCCAAATTAGATAGAAATCAAAATGGAGAGATATATAAATTTCCTTTTTACATAATACATACCAGATAAGGCTTTGTATTTATTCAATCAAATAACCATGAGACTAATAATTTCGTCTACTCATACTTTATAAGATGGACTGCTGTGTATAAATCCTACAAAATACATTCATCAAAAAGTCACCTAAGCTTGATACATTATGGTATTAACTACCGAAACTCAGTTAAAAATAACATTTTTCCCAAATGGAATAAAAATGCATATGGACGAAAATAGTCTTAATTTATCAAGCACTAGGATTCATGCTTTCATGAATAGGTTACAATAGTAGCTACTACTAAGTAGTGATTAATAATCCAAACTATTTTACCTAACTTTTGTATTTATATTTAAAAATAAGCACAATACTACTCCAAGTTCATATCGATTATATTACTGATCACGTTGGATTTCTCCAGAGATAGAAAATCATCGGAAATACAAATCACCAGTAACTGTGATTATATTACCATTTCTCACAAATATCAGTCAGTTTGATAAATAAAAAATAATTGAAATTTCCACAGAATTATTTCGTTTATTAAGTCATATTTATGCGTGACATCTAACTCAAAAGTACACTCTAAAACTCTATCTCATTCGATTTATCAAGAAACTAGATGTAACCGAATGACTCCACCATCGAATAAAACTAGTTCTGGTCTTTTCAGGTATTCCAAACGTGAAGTAATGTGCCTTTACCATATCAGCCTCTTTACTTCATTGTAGTAACCTCCATTTGAATATTCAAGCTTAAACCATTATTTTGTAATTTGTTTGAAAAATATGTAAAATGACTGTCCTAACAATATCTTAGCGTCACTTATTTATCAATTTGATGAATTTAAGAACTATCATCAATTAAGATGCATACTGAAAATTGCAGGATAAATAAAAAAGCTTCAACCCGAAACATGTAGCATCTTGAATCACCTAACAGCACACGCAGAGCATTAATGATACGATCGAGTACCCTAATAAGACATGGAAATATGTTTATTTGTCGCGATACAGCATACAAATCCATCAATCGAAAGGTATATTTGAAGTTTTAACAACAAAAGACGTAAACTTTGGAGAATATCAATTTAATGAAGGCTCTTTCACATACATGATTGGTGAGTTTATCGATAAGTAAAGTGATGTCATCTAGGGTAGATAACTTCCACCACATTTATCCAAACTTGTCAGATATATAATTCTAGAAATAACTAACTTCGAATGACTCCCGGAGAACTAATTATCAGCCCACAAACCCTCTCACAAGGGTAAAGTAGCCATATTTCTGCCTGTCAAACACGTTACCGAAATGTTTAGCATTCGAGATGAGATACATTTTTCCTTTTTCCCGCGGAATCAAAATTTTACTTTGGAACTAATCTGCACCGGGGTTTGGTCCAACAACGCGAAGAGAAGTATTCTGCTACGTTCAGCACCTTGCCTAGAAGTTTCTTCACATTTGGCGGGCTGATAGATGAAATACCTCAGCATAAATATAGTAAATTCAAATGACCCTCGATATTTCACATTATCAGTCAAGCGAACAAGACAAACTTTTGTATAAAAAACATTAGACAATGCTTATCAGTTTGTTTCCCATCACATGGCTGTGAAAGATCATTTTGAAGCTGAAGAAATCTGTTTTTATCACAACTCTGTTCACAATATTGCATGCACGAGATAGAACCACTACATGTGTTATGCTGAAACTAAGTACAGGACACTAGATGTATTTAGTAAGCTGGATAATAAGTCTGTAAACCCCACTGACTAAAATGGTTGAGACATTTGTTAGGGATGTAAACTCACTAAAAACCCTGTCGAACAAACCTGTCCAGCATACGCGTATGTCTAAAAATATTAGAGGCTGGGTTTGAACGCATACTTTCATCTTAGATTTTTTATTTTAATTAGTGATATTTTCCGGTTCATTCGGCTATTCAACTAGTTAATTTTCCCCCACTCTGTGACGATATAAAATGTGGAAACTTTAACCCATGGACATTTGTGTTAGATCCTGGGTTGTCTGTGAATTGTTGACCTAAACGCGTTGTATAGCATGACATTGCGTTAGTTAGAGAGAGCTTTGTCCTCTGAGCTTTGTACTTTTAAAGTTCCACTAGTCTGGTTATGTCACTTTATTGGTATAGATTTCTAAACTCAGAGTGATTACGTTTGAAAATGCTAGTATGTCCACAAATATTAGTGGATTCGCATGTGACTAAACGATCTTTGGATTCATTGCATAGCTCATTGATAAATAAGATTATATATGTCGTTTAATATAAAAAAGAGAGTTATAAAACCGAAGTACATGTGCTAGAATAAAAAAACATAATTTTCAGTCTCAACTACCTGCTGTTTTATAGTTTAAAAAAAGGTAAACTTTCATTGGCTCACCTGTAGTTTCTCTGATAACATCCATATTTGTTGGAGATCCAAGACCCGACCTTAATAATAAAGCTGATATAATATTTTGATAAGTAGCCTCTAGTTCCTCCCGTAATTTTGCTCGACTCTCTATAACTTCACGTAATACAGGTTCTAAACGCTTTTCCAGTACACGATGATGCTCGTTTAGGAATTCATCTGGAAATTATTCGGCAGTTATATTGGAATAATTTGAGCAAAGTTAGAAGTACGTGATTACTTTTAGGGTTCGTATGACACACCAACGCTAAAATGAATCTAGCGTTCAAATGAACGACTTTACATAAACGTTTCAGATATATTTGAATCAGTACTCCAGAAGAGATAAAAGTGTTCGTTTTTACTCAAACCATTCTGGGAGAGGTTAGTCCCAGTGGAGATTTATCTGGCCACAACGCCAAGATACACTGCTTCAAGTCATTAGAAAATAATTCGCTTCCCCGATGTCTCTCTGATCAGTGTAGAATGGAACGAAATCGTGCCAAAAATGTATAATGGATAACATCTATTCACCTTATATAATTGACTTACAAATAAATGGTCCCTAATCATAGGTTTCAGAACACTTGGAGTAATCATATTTTACACTATTAAGGATTAAAATAAAGGATTACCAAACAGGTCTTGAGCTTTTTCGACAGATATGGACTAACTCGTGGAAAGCTGAAGTTAATGATGCACACAATTAGTGTAGTTCTTGCACAGTGATCATTTGTAATTGTTAATTAACTTTGTGTGCTGTCGTATCTTATTGTACGCAATCCTAATTACAATAAAGCTTCAAGTCGATTTTTCGTAATTAACTGTACTTAGCTTTCTTAATAATGAGTTTTTACCATAAAATAGGATCAATTACGATGGCAAAATGTATAAATGTTACATTACAAGGATACTTTGCATAACATATTTTGTCAGGTGAATTACAATATACAGTTGACGTATTTGATACTCTTAGAGAAAAGTGGATAAACCATAAATAATACATATTTTTTGTGTCTGTCATTTTTAGAAAAGTGATTACTAGTAGAGTGTATAACAGAATGTTCACGCTAGTGTTTAATTACTAACAAAGTTGACTTCACTGTCCATTAATCATATGAATCACTATGTCTACAAAAGAAGTGTATAACAAGAATAACCCCTGAGAAGTCAGATTTTAATTATCCCAAAAACCAAGTAGATAAACGAGTAATTCTCCCCACATTTTGTTTCCAGGTTAAAGCATGTATCAGGTTGAATTAAAAATATAAAGTTTTGCTGATTTCAATAGATGTTAAAAATTCATTCCCTTTTTTTAAGTGGACCCTGTAAGAATGTAACCTAAAACTTCACAGCCTCTAGTTCAATGTTTGTGCTCATATATATATTGAAAGATAAAAGTTCAAGTGAAAGACCTAGTGTATCACCATTGATCCCATGACAGTCATACATGACTGATGTTGAAAAAGTTAGTATCATGTAGATGATGTTAGGTTATCCGAGGTCATAAAATCATTAAAATCATACGATCTGTAATTGGTGTAAATAAACCAAAAGTTTTATAAAACAAAAGTCGATATTAAATCACCTTTTTTAAGATGATTTATTTCGAAGAATACTTGCATTTTTATTGTATCAACAGATGGTGAGTCTTGATCAGTTATTCTGTTAACACATAACTATACCGAATGATAGATTATAGATTAATTTACTTCAATCAGTTTCTTTATATCCTCATTATCCAGAGGTTTATCTGGTAGAAATCCCGAAGTAGGATCAAGAACAACTGCTTTGACCTAAAAAATCGTTACTTCGTCGTTGAAATTCATTCACTCAATACAATAAACGCCACAAGGGTCTCAGAGACGTCATGTCCTCTCGAAATACATTGTTGTATTATTTGTTTAATTATTCTAGTAATAACACCTTCAGCTTGAACGTTTGTCATTACTGTTATTTAAATAATCTCATATAATCAAGCACTATAGCAAATACGAAGTTAAACAACAACTACACGTTACCATTTAAGTCTCTAGGGGACAAATAAATAGATGACATAAGTTAGTCCTGGAGATAGACATCTCTCAAATGACCCGACGTTATTTTAAATGCATCAGATGACCATGATTCAACCACGTATTGAGGTGAACAGTTTCATTTGTTGATGATTCAATAAGAAAATCAACAGGCAACAGACTGGCAATTCACTACGAGTTTTTATTCATTTTTTTAATGACTTTATAGATACCCTGTTTTTTACAGACAAGAAAAGTGAGTAGATATCAGATGCATAATTATTGACGGGTGATCTTATCCGCAACGCAACCATGTAAACTTAATGTACCGGTCATCTGTGCGTTCAAGTAACCACAGATTTTGACATTTCATAATGTATTTTTAATCAAATAACTAGATTATATAGCTAATTTTGATCTTTTTTTATATTTTTATTCGCCACGTTCGACTGCGTTACACTCCACGTCCATTGCATGCTGGGATGATATCTCAAGTCATAGTGAGTTTATTCACATAATTGATTGTTTCCAGATAGACTGTCAGTGCATGATTTTACTGTAGAAAGGTTTATTGTACTATAAACTATGTTTTTATGAACAACTGCTTGTTGTCGTCAGTCGGAAAGCAATATATATATTCTTTGTCTTCTGTTCGGTAAGTTCAATTGGCCTATATTTCGTGTTTTTGTTTTATCGTCTTAATTATGTCCATTTAACTACTTTAAGCAATATGCCTGTGCAAATAAAACAATAACTATGACACTTGCTTAGTTTAGTATTCTTGGTTGTCGTATAATTCAGTTTAGTTGAAAGAATTATGGTATACTTAAGTATAGTGCTTGAAGTCTGTAACGAAACAGATCAGCCTAGTAAGTAGAGTTGCCTGTTTCTGATGAGTATACTGATTCAAATCAGTCTGATTAAAAATAGGAAAAAAGTGCTTTTGGTACTGTTGCTGTCATACATTATAAGATAGCGATAAGTATGTTTGGTGTTTATTTCTAGATTGTACATCTATCACTGACCATATTTCATGATCACTGTCATTAAACAATTTCCCCAGCAATAACATCGGTAGCAGGATAGCTAAGTATCTGAGCTTTTATTTGCCCGTAGAAGAGCAGTATACAGTCTTAGAAGATGAGTGTTCTGTATTTCAATTAAATGCAGTTGGCTGTGGACAAATGTTAAGAATCTTTTTGACAACTAGGACTTTTAGTTCATCAAACACTAACTCTGCTTGTATGTCTCCCTGTTAAACTAGATGCAGATACATGGTAATACTTAAATGAGAGCAAAATAATAAAAGCATTGAGATACGGTATTAAGTCCATGTTATGCTTTGCACAATAAATAGCTGACCTGACCTAATATTCATGAACTAAAGGTAAATCACAACTGCATAAATTCTTTGCTAAAATACATGTAATTTGGTTATTTATCTATTCCACATTTCTGACTAAATTCATTACTGTTTTCTCATTTAGAATGCAACAGGACTGAGTCTTCACAGATGTTAAGAACTGTTTCGCCCTTAGAACTATGGCCCTATGGATCTGTTTACGGGAGACCCAACTAACAGCAGATTATAAAAAGGATGCTGGATGTCCATTTTAATCTCACAACCACTTCCAGTACTTTTTGAGTTACTTCTTTTACCCTTTCGTTTGGAAAAAACAACAAAAACTGCAGCTTAACATTACAAATGCAACTTTTAGACTGGAACTTGGTTTAAACCTTTGTTTCATATTCGATTCTTAATGAAAGTTCTGGAATAAATTTTTGAACCTAATGCTACTTTGTTTTATCTACTTAATCGTTGCAAGAAACTTGTGATAATCGAGCCTCTCATCACCTAATTCATGTGTTCAGGCTTCCGTGTCTATTAGCAGGGGATCACCAAAACCTCCAAGCAGGAACCTAGGTATGCTAACAATAAAAGATCCAGTCGCCTCCCAAATGACTCCTGGGAGGTCGCTTGGACTAGTTCGGCGAGCAGCGAATTCCAGCATTTGACAACTCTTAAGGAGTAGAAGTTGCGTCTACAGTCCATTCTGCTATGTCGTGTCTCTAGTTTCTCGGACTAAGCTCAAATAGGTGTTTAAGAAAATGTCCAGAAGTGTTAAGGATCCTGTAAGTAAATAGGTCACCTCTAAGACGTCTATACTTTAATGAGTAGAGGTTAAGTGATTGGAGGCGCTCTTCATAAGGTGATTTGGTGCATATCTCCGTCACTTTCTTAGGAAACCTACAGGCTCGGGTCCTCTCACAACTTATTCTAGCCACCGTGAGTTGCCACGAAAACTGATGGATGGACACGCGTTACACATCCTAACCGTCCCTGCATCTAATCTCATAGCTTCTTATTCAAATGTCATATGATAAGCAAGTAATGCTTCTACCGACACTAATGGAACACGAGTAATTCAAAGGCACCCTGTATGGTACTTTACATTGGTCTACGCACTCACTTAGCTCTTTAGTGGGAATATTACTACAGTCCTGCTAAAAAACCAATGAACCCCCCTACCACCATCAAAACAATAAGTCTGTATTTGCTGCATATAGCAATTTTATTTTTCAGAAGATATAACAGTAAGAATTGGAGTAAAATAACAATATACAACAGATGCACGTGGTACATGTCTTCATCGATCATCTGAAATAGAGAATACGGATATTAGCTTAACATGCTTATTTAGAAAGACTAGTGTTTACTTTGAACTTACTGTGTGAGAAAGTTATACTGGAACTGTGAATAATGTAGGAATCTAGTCTCCCAGGGCGTACGAAGCACTCAAACTGGAAGACAGTTGTCACAAATTAATTCGAATATGAAGTTGAGAATTTGCAAGTACATTTCATCGTAAAGGTGAACATATTAGATAACGGTTGGCATCATACCGTAAAAATAACAAATTTGCGAGTGGTGAATTATGGTCTATAAAAAGGTGAGCTTAATAACAGTTAGTTACATTTTTAATCCCTGATCATGACCCTTCGGCTTCCTTTTATGGCCGAAACAGCAAACATACACTACACACTGAAAGCAGATTTCCGGCTTTTCAATGTTAAGCTTGCTTTAACGCACTACGTAATGCGTACAACCCCTCCATTACTGCTATGTGGCATATTTTTTCATAACAAACCCTCTGCAATAGATTGGTAGCATCTGTGGTTGTCGGAAGCCTGGGTACTTTCGAAAACAATACTGACATCCCCTACTGCCAGGCACTAAGTATTAGTTTGACTCGTTGGTGGGATATTGTTGTCCGCAATACTGAAGAAAATTAAAAACCGGAAATTGTTCCCTTTCATTTTGCCGATAACATCATAAAGGACAGTTAGGAATGAACACGCGGACAGTTAGTTACAGGAGGCAGCAACAGTTATTTCAGCTAAGAAAAAATGAACTTCGGCTTTGGATATCTAGAAAACAAGTCAAAACAAAACCGATTTTCATTTTAAAACATAAGACTAACCAGCTTGACTGAAGAAATACATTGACTAGAGTAGAAGCAGCAAAAACCCAAAAAACAATGCTGATTCGAAGTAAATTTCACACCAACATGTAGAACATTACACTAACTGCGGCATCTTAGCACATTGAAACATTAATTACATAGCTACACAAAAGAAATAGCTAAAAGAAGCACAAAGCGAAGATAGCCGACCGCCATTACGTACAAAGATGGCTGATATAATAATTCCCGCCACATTCTGATTGGTTGCTAAGCTGAAGGGCACATTTACGAAATTGAGTTGCGTTTAATTGCAGCCATTATTGACATTTAATTTAATCCGCGCATTATTTAAATAGAATAGTAGTACTTTTCCTCGTCGAGTTAATTTTACCGTACCGATCGTTTATTAAGCATCAAGACCACTTTTTTCGCTTTAGTTGGATTTATTTCGGTCAAAGTGATCTCCAAGTGTATAGTATTTCCCTAAAATAATTCATCATCTGTATTTTTGTATACGGTACCGTATACGTGGCAGAAAAGGCAGTGATATTTTTTCTCTTTGAGTAAATCTTTTACTATTGATTGTAACCGAAGTTGCGAAGGCTTTTTTCTTTTGTTTATGTTGGGTTTTCGTTTTCAACTACAGTAACATATGACCTTAGCGTTTTGTTCCCAGTGTATATCGCCTATTAAGGCACTTTATTAACACATACTCGATATCAATTTCTTTGTTGTTCTCTCTATAAGATCAATGGATATTTTTATGGTGCAGTTAAAACATCGTTGTGGTGCGTTTGCATGCTTTTTCACAGTGGATTATGGAATGAAATGTGAGAACTGCACTATGTGTTATCACACAGTGTGCACCGGGCTTACCCTAACTTAATATAAACGGTGCTGCAAGCCCCTATCAAGTTGGTTGTGCAAAGCATGTTGCGCTACGAAGTCTCTGTTGATTCTTGAGGCGACTGAGCTGCTCAACTGCGATGCTTAAATGAACTAGTGATTCCTTTGTATATATTGAATGCTTGATTTCGAACCCCAAATACAATACATTCGTTTGTGCTTATCTAGTACTTCTTGATGCAATTGCGTTATTTCTGGGATTCTTAGTTATTAATATCATTCAAATACTTCTAATTATCATATCAACATAGCTAGGAAGATGCTATCAGATCAACGGCTATCAGCAGATGAGCGTTTTCCAGTTTTGGAGCATGTAGCGAGAGTTATCTGCATTCCAGCTATGGATTTCAATATGACCATCAAGGTGGACCCCTTTAGAGAGGCGGTTAAAAAGCACAATGATATGGGTGTGGTTACAAGAAGAAATAACAAGCACGTCAAGGAGAAGAAATAATGTAAGCAGCACCAAAGTATATGAATCTACGGATTCAAAACAAACTATGGGGGAGCTAAGCATTAGCGGCGTAGATGATGTGATCGCGACAATAATAATAATAGTGATAATATATTTCTGCAAGGGCAGGTATACGTCATTTTTGCAGGCATGATAAGGTAATAATAAGGCAGCTGATTGGTTTAGTTTAACCCTGGAAAACAAAATTAAGAAAACAGAGTGAGACTTTAGTGTCTGACGACAAATCGGACTTCAGGGAGGAGATAATTTCATGAAACAAAACTCCACAGCGTGTTAAGACGCATCTCGTTGTCAGGTCAGTTATTTTTTAAAAGTTAATGGAATCTTCCGAAAAGGACCCAAAGGCTAGGTTTGAGCACGACCTCAGCCACACTAAGTCCTTAATAAGCAGGCTACTTCCAGAAACATTTTCAAAAGTTCGAATCTTTCAGCTTTATAGAATAGGACAAAATTGGACCCTGAAAGTACTCGGAAAAACCGCCTC